GACCATGGTGGGCTCCGCATTGTCAAACCACTTGGCTTCTGACTCGAACGGGGCAGTTGGGTCTTCATTCAGATGGCGCCACCATTTCAACGCTTGATTGTGTTGCTTAAACGAAGTGCCGAGCCTCTCTTCATAACTCAAAAAATAATTAACATCAAACTTCTCAAAATCCTGGGGCCCGCGCGCCGCCGCCGCTGCGGTGGCTCGGGGCTCCTGCGCCGCAGGCGCGGCTCGGGATCCCGACCCCTCTCCTGAAACTGTGTTCCCAGGTTCTGGTGAGTTTCGGAGGGCAGCCCTCACGAAATTATCGAATTCGGGCATGCCGAGACCAGGGGCGCGGGGGCTCACAACGCTAAGCGCGGCGAAGCGAGACGGCCGTTGAGGCGAGACCGCCGCCGCTGCTGCGGCGGCAGGGCCATCGCGCCATTTGGCGTCCTCCGTTGGCGTGTGCCCGTCTTGTCGCCAGTCTCTCCAACCCCTCGCTGACCAATCATGGCCGTCCTCCCAGCCACGCCAGCCGCTGCTGCGGCTATCCCACCATCCTCCCGCGCCACCCCATGTGTATCCGCCTGCATCGCCCATTGCAAGACGATGGCGCAGGCGCGCGTTAGGCCGCGACGGGCCCAGCTGCACCGGTGCTCGCGGGCGATCCCACGGGCGCGGGATGGTTTGAGCATAGCGGCGACGGACGACGCGATGTGATTGGACGGCGGAGAACTTGAAAGGAAGGGGGGTTGGAAACGGATGAACGAAATGGACGAAGAGCGGAAATCGAACCAGAGGGGGGGGCGAAAAAAGAGCGGAAGAGAATAAGGACATGCAGACGAAGGAGAGTGACGAGGTAGATGGCGGGCCAGAACGGCAACGGAGGATAGTGTGGTGGAAATTGTGAAAAGGACGCCTGGAAAAACACGACGAGGATCACAGACGCAAAGATGATGAGCGCAGTGGTAGCATGACGTATCCGAAATCAAGAAGCAGGATGACGAGGAACGGGATGACGAGCAACTCTGTCGCAGAGAGCCTCCGGACGCACCCCCTCTGTCACAGAGGGCCTCCGAACGCACCCCCTCTGTCACAGAGGGCCTCCGAAAAAACACCCCCTCTGTCACAGAGGGGGGAAATGATCACTTTAATGCGGCTTCTGGATTATCCCAGCACACGAAGTCCGCACGCATCCCAACACGTATCCCAGCGGGGGGGAGCAGGGGGCGGGAGGGCACGGTCGAGCAGGAGGGAGGGCACGGTCGGTCGGTCGGAATAAGCAGACGGGGGCCGCGGGGCGGAAGAGCGCGGGGGGGCAGACAGCGCACACGGGGGCGGTACGCACCCAGGCCACACCCTACCACGTATCCCAGCACACGGAGCCAACACACATCCCAGCACACGGAGGCAGCACACAGCCCTGCACACATCCCAGCACACGAAGGCAGCACTCGTCCCAGCACGCACCCCACTCCAGCGCACATCCCAGACACGGTCGGTCGGTCGGTCGAAATCATGGAGTGCGAGGCCACACTGGTAGGTATGATAATAACGTCTCCCTGCCACACCCCGAGCCATTTTTTTAGGCGGGCCGGGTGTTTCGCGTGAAGACGTCCTCACCATTTATCGCACTGGAGCTCAAAACACGGCAACAACTTCACACATGGAGGGCGGGCCGTTGTCAACACGTAATTCTCGCCCGAACACCGCGCGCGCTTGCTTCAAACACTTGCAAGAGCTTCGCGGTTTGAGGGCGGATCATGTTCAACATATGGTTCTCGCCTGAGCGCCGCGTGCAGTCGTTTTCAACAGTTACAACAAATTTCACATATTGAGGGCGGCTCCTTTTCAAAATGTGGGTCTCGTCTTGGCACCGCGAAAAAAATCACACACACACACACACACACACACACACACACACACACGCACGAATCTCACGGATTCCCATGGTCAACCTACCAGAGCTGGTGTGCTGGAAGGATTCAGGATTATGAGGGTGCAACAGCTACGTTCGCTCGCGGCTCTGAGGTCCCAAGAATGGCGTTTGGGCACGATCCAATATTGTCAAGACGCAACAGTCTGGTTGATCCGTGGCGTTGGAATCCCGCGAACAATGTTTTGGCATGCTTCTGGGTCTCCAGACAGTTGTCTTCCAACGGGACAGTTCCCTCAATGAAATTGAACCGTTGTAGGGGCCTACGGAGAGGGAGCTTGGAGGGAGAGTTTATTCCAACATCGTTGGTGACTCTTTGGTTTACAATGGTCCTCCTCTTCCTCCTTCTCCTCCCCCCGTCCTCCTCCTCCTCCTCCTAGCCCTCCCCCCCTGGCTCAGTGGAGCCATTTGCGGGCGCGCGTGGGGGGGGGGCGGGCGCAGCCCGAAGGAGCCATGGAGAAGATAAGATGACGGCTCAGGAGGCCTTGCGCACTCTCCCGAGCATTGCAACGTCAACGGCGAAGTTCATCGGTAGGTTCGTCATCCCGAGTGTTGTGATGATCGAGACCTTGAGAATTATCGGTGGTATTGCACCGACAGTGGTGAAGTACATCGGCAAGTTCGTCATCCCAAGCGTTGAAAGGATCAAGGCCCGCCAGAAGAAGGCGACCAAGGCCAGGAATCGTGGGATCTTCGGCAAGGTCGTATTTGTGAAGGCGAACGCTCTCAAGAAGTACACCCACTAGCTGGGCTGAGAGGCTCGGCCCGTCGGTGGCGGCTGTGTCGGGCATTGGCCCTGCCTCGTTGCCAATGCTGGGCGCCTCGGTTTTCTGGCTTGTCCCTCGTCGCGTCGCCGCGGCTGGACTCGCCTCGGCCCGTTGGGCCGTTTTGGTTTTCCTGGTGCGGGTCGCCACTGTGCCTTCGTCGTCGCCTCGTCGGAGTGCGGTTCGAAAATGCGGCGCGGCGTAGGTCCGTGCCGCGGGCCTGCGTGCCAGGGCCCGAAAGACGCAGGCGGCCTCATCAGATCATTCAAACCCCTTCTACTCCTACTCCTCCTTTTCCTGTATTCCTTTTCCTTACACATAATTTCTCCCTGTCGCACCCAGAGGCCAGTTTCAAAATATGGTTCTCGCCTTAGCGCCGCGCACATACGTTCCAACAATGTGCAAGGGTTTTACGGATTGAAGATAACTCGTGTTCAAAATGTGGCTCTCGCCTTAGCGCCGCGCACATTCGCTTTAGAAGTTCGTAAGAGTTTCACGGATTGAGGGCGGTTCCTTTCCAAACTGGGGCTCACGCTTTAGCGCCGCGCGCAGTCGTTCATTACATGTGAAGGAGTTTCAGGTATTCACACAATCAACAAGAAACAGAAATGGTGTTTTGGACCGTTTGTAATCCGCGGTGTTGCAACCCCAAGAATGGCGTTCTGGCACGATCCAAGATCGTCAAGATGCAACAGTCCCGTTGATCCGTGGCGTTGGAATTCCGCGAACAATGTTTTGGCATGCTTCAGGGTCTTCAGACAGTTGTCTTTCAACGGAACAGTTCCCTCAGTGCAATTGAACCGTTGTAGGGGCCTACGAAGAGGGAGCTTGGAGGGTGGATTCCAACATCGTTGATGGCTCTTGGGTTTACACTTGTCCTCCTCCTCCTCCTCCTCCTTCTTCTCCTCCCCCCGTCCTCCTCCTCCTCCTTCTCCTCCTCCTCCTCCTCCTCCTCCTACACCATCCTCCTGCACCATCCTCCGTAAGACGGAGCGGGCCTTCCTGGGAGGCTCTGAAGCCCCAGCCTTCTGAGGAGCTCTCGAGGCCTCCTCCGAAGGCGCAAAGGGCTTTCTCAGAAGGCCGCAGGGCTTTCTGAGAAGCCCCGCCCCCTACAGTCGGGCCGCTGAAAGAAGGAACGCGAAATAAGGAACGAAGTCCCTCCTTGGCCCTGTAAAAAGCGCCTCCGTGGCCCAGGAGGGCAAGAGGAGTAGCACTGGAGCAACCTAAGGAACATCGAGCCCCTTTCCGAACCCAAATTGTTCCTTATTTCAACGTCTTGACCTTTGTGGGCCCCGGAAACGGCAGGGCCGTTTTTTCACCGTTTCCGAGAAAGTGCCCCTTGAAAACGGAAACGGCAAAAAAAAAGCGACCAAAAACGTCAAGAAAACGGCTCCAGGATTGGACCCGGAGCCGGAACCGGTCAAAAAACGGCGACAGAACCAGTAAAAAAACGGCGTCGGAACTGGCAACAAAACGGCAAGACGGAACCGGTAAAAAAAGCGGCACTGTCGTTTCCAGGGCCCACTAAGGTCTTGACTGTACCGAGAGTGCCTGCCCCCTGTCGTTGCCGGCCCTCGGCGCGCCGCCGATCCGAGACGAGGATGGGGAGGAGCTGGAGGTGCCTCGGAGGCTGGCTGCGCAGATGTGGTGCCTTGACCTCAGCCAGGGACAATGAAGGGGCCCCGGGACACACAAATAAACTCACACAAATAAAAAGATTCCCAATATTTTCGCATATTTCTGGGTTTCTGTCTTCCCCCCCACTTCCCATATTTCGCCATATTCTCTGAGGAATCGAAGATTAATTGTATCTGTGTGTTTCTTTTCCTCCTGAATGTGGTGCCCTGCCCTCAGCCAGGAACAAGGAAAGGCGACACCAGCACCAACAGGGCGAGGAGATGCGCGGAGGCCAAGGGGGGTCTCCCTGGTGGTGTGGTCCCCCCCTCTCGCTCGAGACCTTCCCCAGTCTCCCGCTCGGGGAGGCATTGTGGACCTCCTCGCTGGAGGTGGGGCCCCCTGGTGGTGTTGGTATCGCTTCTCCTCCCTCCGACCAGCGGCCCCTGGAAACGACAAGGCCGTTTTTGTCACCGATCCGTTTGCCGTTTCTGTTGCCGGTTCAATCGGCACCTGCTTGCCAAGTCCGTCGCCGATGTTTTTTCCGTGCTGGTTCCAGCTCCAATCCCGGAGCCGTGTTTGTTGTCGTTTCTGGTCGTCGTGTCTATTTCATAATTTCCTTGTTCAGCGGATTTGAAAACGGTGAAAAAAAAACAACCCTAACATTTCTGGGGCGCGCGAAGGCTGTGCCCTGAACTTCCCTCCTGGTAGGTGATGAACACGCCACGGTGCGCGTTCGAGACGTGCCGCCTGAAGCTCACGTAAATGTCCTGGAAGGAGAAGGAGCGAATGGCGACGGCGAGCGAAACGAGCGGGTTCCAATTCTGCTGGAGACGAACAAAGAAAAAGTAAACCGCACCCGCTCCTTCCATTCAAACCCTCGTTGTCCCGATACTCTTCCACTCCAGCAGCCCTTCCCTTCCTCCCTTCCTCCCTCCGTCCCCCACCTCCCTCCCTCGCTCACCATGTCTTGCCATCGCTCGGACTTCCATTCCCCGTGCATGCGCACTTGTTTGGCCACGTGATCCAGGATGCTCCTCGATGGCCCCTGCCGAGCAAAAGTGCACACGCCCACGCGATAGCAGGATATTCCTCCCTCCTTCCCGCCTCTCTCCCTGCGCGCCTCCTCCGTGCCCCACTTCCCGTGCATGCCCCTCCCAGCTCGCAAGCACGCGGACCTCGCATCATCGCCGTGCGGCACCCTCGCAATCCGTCGCCTCACGAACACCACCGCACCGCAGCGCGAGGCTCCGGGAGGCTGCGGCTGGCGAGCTCTCCAGAGACGCTCCGATCGGAGGAGAGCCAGGTGACTCAATGGGGGCTCTCCCGCCCGGCCCAACTCCGCTCAAAAGCAGCCCCCTTCCTCCTCCTCCTCCTCCTCATCATCCTTCTCCTCCTCCTCCTCCTCCTGCGGCACTGCGGGCAAAGCGGTTCTTGTCCGCCGCAGCCCGCGCCGCGCGCGCGCCCGAGCGCGCGGCGCGACGCACGACCCCCTACCTCTGAGATCCTCTGGAGGGGCCTCTGGAGGGGGCCTCAAGGCGCCTCTGGAATCCTGGGCGACCCGCAGACAGGAAAGGGAGGAGCCTCAAGGGCCTCGGAGAAAGGAATGCGGGACCAGGATCCAGAAGCTAGAGGGCGCGCCTAGATTTGTACTAAGCCCGCCACCCCCCGACCACCACCTCCATAGTGGAGTACGTACTCCTCCCCGCTCGAAAGACGCGGAGGTGGTGGTGGAGGGGGGGGGACAACTTGTATTATAGGGTTGTGGGTCCCCTCCCCCCAACAGGTGAGAATCAAAGCCTGCATGTGGCCCGAGGAAGGAACGGAGGGGGGACCCACAACTTACTGGGGGGGGGGGACGCCCACGGGCCCAGGTGTCAGAAGTTGATGGGGATCTCTTCCCCCTCGCGGCCGCCAGCGCCCCCAGGTCTGTTCCTGGGGGCTGGCACGCTCACCGCGAGGGGGTGATCACCAACCTGTACTCCGTGGGTTGGTGCTCGCCGTTGTTGTCGCTCGGGAGGCCGCCGTAGTTGCCGAAGCCCCCGCTGTTGTCGCCCAGGTGGCCGCCGTAGTTGTGAGTCTCGGCGATGTCCTGGGCGTTGGTGGTGTGCTCGTTGCCATCATGTCCATCATAGTGCCACGTCTGTGCCTTTGTGTATGCGTCGGCGGTGGGCTGGAGTGTTTGCTCTATGGCCTGCGTCAGTGTCGTTGTCGTGGTGATGTCTGCAGGGCAGTTGCAAGCAGTGAATGCTGTGGTCAGGGTTGTGCTGCACGTCGTTGTGATGTATGCGTATTCCTGTAGCTGCAGGTGTCGGAGGCTGCTGTCCAAGATGATGGTAGGTGTGCGCGTCATCACCATCCGCTGTGCGGTCCGTAAGACGTGCCGCATGCTGTCGTTGTCTTGTCGTACCGCTCTGTGCTGCGTGGGTGTGAGATCCAGTCGTCCCCAAGGTGCCTCTTGCGTCCTGAGGTTGAGGTCGCGGTCGAAGGTCGTGAGGTCGGCGTCGATGATGCAGAAGGCAGCGTGGTCGTATGGTGTCGTGGCCATGTCGGAAGCCGTTGGGTCAGGTTGGGGTGTGTGCTTGGTTGGCATATGGTGGAGTTCGATGGAGATGCTGTGTCTGTCTGCGGTGGCTTGGAGGGCGTCGGTCACCGCGCTGGTGTGGTCGTGGTTGGCGGTGAAGAGCAGTACGATGCTGGGCTTTCCTGTGATGTCGGTCATTCCCGTGTCTGCTCGGTTGGGTCCGCTGTCTTGTGTGGTGGGTGCGTCGGTGGGTAGTTGGGCTGGTATTGGTCGGTGGTCGTGGTCGGCGTGGGTTGGTGGTCCCAGTGCTGGCCCATGTAGCTGGATGGGTGGCCGCTCTGCGTAGTCTTCTGGAAGCCCAGCGTGTCGGTTGGATCGTCGTACGCGTCGGGTCTCCTCCTTGTGCGCGTCGATGTCTTCTGTTGGCGGCTTCGCTCCGAACTGCATCAGTGTGGCTGCACACTGGTGTGACGACTTGACGTGTTTGGTAAGTCTGTTCGCGGTGTAGAAGTACTTCAAGCATACCTGGCAGGTGTCGCCGACGATGTAGTTGTCTATGGTGTGCTTGTCCTGGTGGACGGCGTAGACATGCTTGTTGTGTGCTGCTTTGGTCTTGAATGTAGCACCGCAATGGTAACACATAACTCTGGCTGGCGCTGGTGTCGTGGTTCCTTCTTGTCGGGGTAGTGGCAGCACTCCCAGTGCTGTTGCCGTTAGCGATAGGTCTGCCCGCAGCTGGTCCTGCGCTGCTCGGTCGGAGGATGAGTCTTGTGCGCGCTTGTAGGTGCTCGTGATAAAAGACTTGACCGTGTGCATGTCGTTGCGTGCAGCCTTGATGAAGTCGATGATGTCCTTGGGTGCGGTGGTGATGCGGGTGCCGTCGCAGTGCTGTCGGCATGTGTGGATGTCGTTGTTGATGGTTTGCGTCCAGGTGCCGTTGACTTCGATGTCGTAGTCAATGAGTGCCTGCGTTTCGTACGGGCATCCTTTTATGAGTCGCAAAAGTTCTCGCAGTCGTAGCCATCGTAGTCGGTCTTCGAGGTTCGGTAGTTGAGCACGTGCCAATATCTGCTCGTTGGTGATGTGCTTGTCCTTCATGGCCTTGTGCGTTATTCCTATTGCCTGTCGAGCCGCAGTGACGTAGGCTGTGTTGATCCTGTGGTAGTCCCGCGCTGTTGTGATGAGCCATGTCCCCGCGTTAAATAGCAGTCTTGAATAGCCGAAGGACTCGAGGTAGTGGATCTTAGTCTGGATGGAGATGGCTTGTCGTTGGAACAAGGTGCGTCGGAGTGGGCCTGTTGTCTCGCGTAGCGCGATGGTGCGTGCTGCCGTCTCCTGGCCCATGTCGTTCCTGTCGTTGAACATCGCGCCCAGCAGCTTGGTGCTTCTAGCGATGGTGACGCAGAGCCCCATGTCGGTGATGCTGTGGTTGTCCTGTATCATGGTCCGTGTAGCTCTTTTGCCTGCGACGGTGTTGGGGTAGACGATGAAGCTGGACTTCTTGGTGTTGATCGGGAGGCCTCTTCGCAGTGTCGCGCGTATGAGATGTCCCCACATCTTGGTGATGAGTGCGTGGATCATGGTGCCGTCTGCCGTGGATGCAGCCGCCTTGACGTCGTCTACGAAGGATGTAGAGGACAGTGTGGCGTTGTGGTCGCAAGCTCGGAGACGTGGTGGGGCATGCGGTATGTCGAAAGTCGCTCCGTCCTCGACGGCGTGGTCGTGGTAGTCTCGCGTGACGTCCGCCATGAGCATGTTGAATGTGAAGTCGGCTGTTGGTACGCCAGGGCGTGTACCAAGTCGTGGTGCTGCGTAGCTGCACTGGTCGTCGATATAGAACCAAGTCCCAGTGTGTGCCTCCGTGAGCATGTCGACAATGTGTTGGTTGTCCACGTGTTGGTTGACGATACCGTTGTCGGTCATGAGGGCCTCAATCGCGGGAAGCATGACATGGGGGATGTCGATGTGGGCGAGAAGGTCGTCCAGCTGCTCCTTGGTCTGGGTGAAGTTGTACACGAGCTGGTTGACTACCTTGTGGAAGGCTGCTTTCAAGTCTATCATGATGATGACCATGTCGTGCTTCACGTGGTAGGCGGTGTTGGATAGGAGCCGCATCGTCATGTGGTTGATGTCCGTGCTGTAGTGGTGTCGACCTCCCGTCTGAGTGGAGAAGAGCATCGTGGGGATGAGGTCCTTCATGCATTGTCTGATGTATCTGTAGTGGTGCTTGATGACGGTGTTGGCTAACGTGATTGACCGCTGGTTGTTCAGGTCCTCCTCGCTGCCCTTGCCCTTCCAGAAGTACGTCATCCTGGACCCCTTGAGAGCTACGCCCTCCCTGCAGAAGAGCGCCGCTTTGGTGATGATCGGATGCATGTGTCGGGCCATCTGCCGTGGGGCGATCTTGGAGAAGTCGTCGGATACGCGATCTGGTCCTGGTGCGCGGTGAGGTCTCGCTTTGTGAAGGATGTCGGTGAGCTCGTAGATGCTGGCGAAGTTGTTGACGTGGCGCGTTCTCCTGGGCTGAGCTGGGTCGGTCCTGTCCTCCTTGGCGTTGTATCTGTCAACCACGTCCTGAGCGGAGAGGATGTCGGCTGCTTCGTTGTGTCCGAAGTGTCGTGTGGCTGCGTCGGCCTTGCTCGTGGAACTGTCGAGGACAGTGCCGTCTGCTGCGTTCATCATGGGGTATGCTTGCCGCTTACGTCTCTTGCGGCCGCCGAATAGCAGGAGCTTCTTGGTGTACTTCCACTCGGTGTGCGTGTCGCCAGTGCGCTTTGCGTCCATTGCCTTTTGTGCTTGCTCTTCCAAGAACGCGTCGTAGTCCCTGCCGGTCATCTTGACGATTACTTTTCTCGTGGCGTCGATCCAGTGCCGTACGTGTTGTAAAAACCCATGATAGTCGGGGTTGTAAGGGAAATTCGCTGCAGCGTAGTTGAGCATGTAAGTCTCGCAGTAAGTAGTGTGGATCGCCTCGGGAGTCATCTGAAGGGTCGGGTCGTTGTGGATGTCGTTGATGAGCCTTTGGATTCTGCGCTTTGTCGTGCTAGCTGTCGCTCCATGTGTTGTTGCCTTACGGAGGAGCTTCATGAACTTCCGTCGGCTGAGGACAAAGTCGAGCGTGGTCTCTGAGATGTACTCCTGGTATTTCTTCTTCCCGCTTCTTTTGAACGCTGAGGTCGCTGCGTCCATGATGGTCAGCATGTACTGGTGGATGTGCTCATCGTAGTCCGTCCCCCATGACGGTAA